CTCTCTCTCTCTCTCTCTCTCTCTCTCTCTCTCTCTCTCTCTCACACACACACACACACACACACACACACACACACACACACACACACAAACCAAAGGAGAAACATTGCGTGAGCCGCGCTTCCATCTATTGCGCAGTCTCCTTCAATAGACTCCACCTGCCTTGCCTCTCCCATTTTTTCCAGCTCCTACCATAGCCACGATCAACGGTTCACGCTAAAACTCTTCTAGCCCTCTCCTCGATCTGGTTCCCCCCCATTCACTCCCTCCATCCCGTAACAGTCTTCGGTCATGCGTGTTTCTATTTCCCTTGTCAATGACGCTTTCCAACCCCCTTTTCCTACCCTCTCTCCCCCCGCCGACCGGCCCTGATCACCCAAAAAGAAGCCCTTTTTAGGCTTTCGCTCATACTCGAACCCCTTTCTAAACTTTCGCTCATACTCCAACTCCTTTTGGCCCGTCGTGAGACGTTAAACTCGCACATGCAATCCTTTGACAATCTCCAGCTAACACAAATCCCTTCTCCTTCGACATTCTCGAGCGAACACAAATCCCTTCTCCTTCTCCTTCTCCTTCTCCTCCTTCTCCTTCTCTTCAGACTCCACAACGCTTCCGGAACTTGGACTTTGAACTTGTACAATACTTGTGAACAGGACAAGGCCAGTATCTGGCACGCGCGCTCGACCACATGCATACGTAAGGGCATACTCACAGTAGGTTTATTTTGGCCTGAATGTGGACGTGACCTCGGTCAGAAACGTTCGGGAAAGTCCATGGCTGAATGTCAAAAGACGAGCTTGAAAGTCCCGGAACACCCAACCTCCTCCTCCAGAACATACCTTGCCACTCTACACACCTTCTGCTCACTTTATCTTCCCACATCGTGTGGGCAGGTTGAAGCGCACACCAGTACACCTGTTTCTGGTCATTTTTATTCTCCGTAGTGAAGCCACCAGTACACCTGTGATTCCCCCTAGCCCACCCTGCAGAGTTCTTAGGCTCCCCCTCTCCCTTCTCCTTAATCGCGAAAACCCCTCTCTCTCTTACAGACCCCTTATGGCGAATCATTTCATTCATTCACTCATTAAAAAAAAAAAAAAAAAAAAAAAAGGAAATACATTCACCACGAGAACACGTAGTCCACCATCTTCATGCTAATTAGAAAGCACTTACTCCACCGTCTTCATGCTAACTCCTCCTACATTCCCTTTCCACTCCTCTCCACTTGCCCCCACCACCTTCCTTCCGCAATCTCACCCTACCCCCGACACCCCGTCTCCGCTACTTAAACATAGCCAACACATTGTCCTCTCTCTCTCTCTCTCTCTCTCTCTCTCTCGCGCGCGCGCGCGCTCTGTGTGCGTGTGTGTGTGTGTTGGTATGTGTTCACGTAGGGATCCTAGCCTCCTAGCTACGGTGATGATCATACCACCAGATAGGCACTGAACGTGAGAAGCGCAACGAGCAAAGCAACGCTGATGCTGGCGGCGGCATTCGGCTCTCTTTTGGTGCTTCCACTCTCCGACGATGGAGCACTGCTTGGTGCATTCTGGCCGTTCCTCGGCATCGTCGGTGACTTGGCGACTTTCTCGTTCTCAGTTCCGGGGTTCGGTGCGCTTTCGCTTGCCTCGCCCTCGCTCTTCGCATCCACTTCACTGGGGCCGCTGGCGCTCGCTTCCGCATTCCCCTCCCCTTCGGCAGCTGGTCCCTCACCCCTTCCAGCTTCTGCTCCTTCCGCCGGCTTTGATCCTTCTTCGGCTGGCGTTGATCCTTCTCCTTCGGCTGGCATTGATCCTTCTCCTTCGGCTGGCTTCGATCCTTCTCCTTCCGCTGGCAATGATCCTTCTCCTTCTGCTGGCTTTGATCCTTCTCCGGCTAGCATTGATCCTTCTCCTTCGGCTGGCACTGATCCTTCGGCTGGCACTGATCCTTCGGCTGGCATTGCTCCTTCTCCTTCGGCTGGCTTTGATCCTAAGGCTTCTCCTTCTGCTGGCACTGATGCTTCTGCGGCTGCCGGTTCTGCCAAAGCTATGCGAAAGGCTCCTCTTCTATCCGGGCCATGGTAGGTTGGACGCGAACTGTTGCTGTAGGCCCATATGACGCAAATGCTGGTGCCATTAAGCGGCACATTGCCGCCTTCCTTGCTTCGGTGGACGGTGAGGAAGGCCTCCGCCGGGGCCCATGCATGGCGGAGATTAATTTCCTTAGCCAAGGCAGCGTCAGGGAGAAGGGTGCGCCCGGGACGCGCTGAGGTCCTGAACGTGCCTGGCGCTGCCGTCGGTTCGTTTACCCCAGCGATGACGACATCTGCGTCGAACATAGAGCAGTCGGCAGACCATCCCAGTGAAACCCACCCTCCTTTTGGAACGAAGAGACCGAACACGAACGTCCCGTTTGTAGGTGGTGTGTAGTACAGATTGACTCCCGAGGTCGACGCGCCGTGCATGTATTCGAACTGCGGAACATTCGACGCGGCCATGGAGAAATTCACCGTCTGGCCTTCTGCCGCCTCCACCATCGCCATAGCTAACAAGGCTGCGAAGACGAAAGCTTTATTCAGCCTGATCACCGAGGAGTACGCCATGGCGGAAGGNGGGGGGAGGAAGGAGGGGGTCCAGTCGTTCCTATCCCTGCGTGCAGCCTGGTGCTTTCATCTCGACATGGAGGCGGCAGCGATGGCGGCGGCAAAGCGGATGGAGAAGACGACGACGATGTGGGAGACAACCCCGTTCTAAATGTACCCGAGCGTGCTTTATGAAGTGAAGGCTCGCAAATGGCTTCGTGTCTACCAACCGTGGGGATTGGGGTGGAGATTGGGGTGGGGATTGGGGTGGGGTGGGGTGGGGATTAAAGGGGGATGGGGTCGGGGGGTCGGGTAGGGGGTGAGGTCGGACGTAGGTCATACCTACACTAGCACGTTTTCACTCATGTGTGGACTCAATTGCGGTCATATACATCCCGGCTGACCGAAAATGCAGTCCGATACCTTTAAGATAGAGCTAGTGTGATGACGCCCTCACGATGCTCTTGGATTGTGGCCGTTGATCTCGTAAGGGCCTCGCCGCACCACTCACCAAACGCGCCAACACTCTGAACGAATTTGAACATCGAAGTAGTCCCTGTGCACTCGAAATCTTGGCATTTCGTGAGTGGGGCGGCGAAGCCCTGAGCGACGATTGAAAAATGGCGAAGGCGGGTAAAAGAGGCAAAATGGCGAGGGCGGGTAAAAGAGGAAAAATGGCGAAGGCGGGTAAAAGAGGGACTACTGTAGAGGTCAAGCCCCGCGTAGTCAGATTCAGCATTTGTGGCCGTTGATCTGGCGATCCATCCATCCGGCAGGAGAATTGAACAATCTGGGAAAATGGGACCTGGCCCCAGCAAGACCCGGATAGCGCAGATCTGGAGATCATCTCCTCTTCTTTTTTTCTTTCTCTTTCTTTTTTTTCATTTTTTGTAAATCAATCAACTCATCGTGCTCAAGGGAAAAAAAAAATTAAGAAAATCGAGTTATTATGATCAATTCGTCAGCATGAGCCGGGACCGGGTCCCAGATGGCCGGACTGTTCATTTTTGTCCGTTGATCTTCATAATCTACTACGGTTAGAAATTGAGCTCTCAGGTAACTGGGACTTGGCCCCCGGACCAGATGCTCGGCTGCAAGATGGCTGACTGACGGAGCCTCTTGTCAGTCGCTCGGCCCTCTCGCCTCACAGAGTAGTGGAGCGAGGCCCTGAGCCTCGGCGAGTATAACGAATGTGTCCTTTAAAAAAATATATATCGGCGAGAACAATGGGGGATCATACATCGCCATAATTTGTGTTGTGTCTTTGGCCCTACTAGTTGCACTACTCGCCGTCCGCCAAGATTTCGATTGCATCTGGACAAAATCATGTCCACATGCAATCAAAAAATTGCGGATGGCGAGTAGTGCGACGAGGCCCTTTTGTGCAGCTGGTGAGTGGTGCGGCGAGGGCCCTTATCTCAAAAAAATCCGGACTGGAAAAAGCATATTGGACGCGCGCTGGCTTGTTTTGAGCGGGAATAGGGCCTTGCTGCACTACTCACCGAATGTGGCAAAATGTGAGAACGAATCTGGCACCAAATGCGAAAAATGAGAATGAATCTTGCGCTGCAACATGGAAAGATGCAACGCCATAATTTTTGTCTTTTGTGCGTATAGAAGAGAGTGGTGGAGAGAGGCCCTTTTTTTTTTTTGCTTTTTTTTTTTTTTTTTGTAAACGTTGCGCTGCTGATTGGATTAAGCGCCTGAATCTGGCGGGTGGATTTGAGCAAAGATGCAGAAAAGCAGATCAAGCTCGATTCTTTGCACATATCCACAAGCACGACCAGCTTCAGGGGCGAGGTCCCACTAGCGACGGGGTAGGATAGAAACGAGTTTGTGGGGCAGTTGAGTGACCCAAATCCTGCCGTGCACTACTCGTGATCCCACCGTCAGTATTTTACATGTATTACCTGAAAAAGTAAGGGAAGTCCTCTTAGCAAGTGGGACCTGGCCCCGGATTTGTGGCTATGGATGGAACCACTGGGCGGTATCACTTTTGGTATTGTACTCTTCTCCAAGCTGTTGGCTCAGTGCATTCATGTTCAAATCGGTAGTTGGTTTCTGTTTTTTTTGTTCTTTTTTCTTCTCTTTTTTCTTCTCTTTTTTCTTCTCTTTTTTCTTCTCTCTTTTCTTATTTTTTCTTATTTTTTTTAAAAATCGGCAGTTGGTTTCTGAATTGCGTGTTTTTTTTTTTTTTTTTTTTTTTTTTTTTTTTTTNAGCCAGTACTGCAGGACACTGTGTGACTTCGTGTGGCAATGTGCCGCGGGTTGACAAACGACGGGTTAAATCGCGAAAAATAACAGGATTTGAACGTGCTGAATGACAGTAATGATGAAAGGCCGGTCAGTCTGGTAACCAAGGGTATGACAGCGGCATTGTCGGGAAAAACTTTTAGTTTCTGTGGAAATACAAGACGATGGACGGTCCCCACGTCTAGCCCGACTGGGGTCAGGCTACGGACGAGGACTGTTCCCTGCGAGTGAAAGAGCTCATTCCGACTATAACAGCCAATGGGAAACCGCTACATAGCAACATTCAATCCATTCCGTTCGAAGAAAAACATAACCGACCATGCGCCCTACGATCAATGTGAATCAGCGGTCAGGAAACGTGTCGCACAAAACACAGGGTCCTGAACTGAGGACTAAACCTCTGCAAGTGGGACTTGGTCCCGGGAATCCCTCCACATCTCAACCCGGAAAGAGAAACCCAGCCCCAGAGAGGCTTAACTGGAAACCGGGTCCAGTGTCCCAAGCTCTTCACAGCAAACTTGCTATCCCTAAAAGACGGCAAAACATGACAATTAAATCTACCAACAGACACAAAGGAACCAGCTAACCTTCTAACCATGAGCCTAATCAGCAATCATATCCGGGAGCATTACCCGGCTTCGCTTCAAGGGAGTCTTTTTTTTTTTTTTTTTTTTTTTTTTTTTTTGGGACAAATGCTCCAGTCTATTCGTGGGGGCGTGCTGGGAACTGGGCCCAGCGTCCCATATAGAAATATACAAATGATTTAAAGTGCCAAGGCCATTACCTGGCTCCGGCCAAGAACAGTCTGACGCTTCAAGGGAGTCTAACTACGACTCGCCAAAGAACCTCCTAAGCCTACTTAAGCAAACTGTGTATTCAAGTCACTTCCCTCTAACTCGAGGGATCAGCCAAGAGCTGGTAATCAGTTTTCCTTCTTGTGAGACAGTAGCAAAATGGTTTCCAGAAGCCCAGGTCCGCTGAAACCAAAACGACCCTTTCCTCTGCCAATCTGCTATGACGGTCAGTCTAATCTTATGAATAATAATCCCTTTCAGTGCTTCTGAGTGTGTGCTCTCATCCTTGAGTTTCTGATTCGAAGCCTGCCAAATTGCCTTCATAATAATACTTCTGCAGACTTGAGCTATGTATCCCCAGCCAACTTCAAGGGGCTTAGCAGTATCAACACAACCGCACCGAATCCACGAGACTGTCCACGGGAAATCTGCAGCTCCAAGCGCAGGCCAGCGCTTTCTCCACCATTGCCAGATGATGAGGGAATGGGGACAGGCTACCCGCAAATGGGTCGTTGTCTCCCATGCCCAGCAGCATCTGGGGTACAGCAGCGACACTGCCATACTTTTAGAAGCTAGCCAAGCTGCCGACGGGACGGACTGCACCGATTGGAGCCATAGCAGACTCGCGCCTTTTGGCCTGGAAGTGTTTCCAAATCTATACTTTGGTTCCTGCAGGGGTCGGCGGGCCCAGTACTCGCCATAGAGTAGTCGACTCAGAAGGCGCTATGAACCATGTGTCAATGGCTGGATGTCGACCGAGTTGAAGGCATGCGATCCAGGCCGTGGGGAGAGCATCTTTCAGACGATTGTAGTTTGATTCCAAGTTGTGAACCGGGGGGAGCTTTCTTCGTAATGTGCTAGTCGCCAGCCAGTCTGTTATGCTGTCGTCCCAGATGTCCTTGAGGCGAAACACCCCTCTGCTGCACCAGGTTTTGCCAAAGTTGCTCCTTGTGTCTACGGCAGAGAATACTTCCCCATCTGAATCCAACACTCTTGGATTGTCAAAGAGAGGCTGGTTTAGTATCTCTGTCCTAGTTACCGGTTCCCTGAGAGTGACAGGGCCTAGTTTGTTCCAAGCATGGAGAATTTGGCGCCAAGTTGAAGATCTGGGTCTACGTTGAGTGAAAGAAGGCAGCATCAGGCATGGCCAGATGTCCTGGTGATGTACAAAGTTCCATTCTGTTCCCAGCAGGTACTCAACAAATAGGATCCATGCCTTGGGTGTGCTTGCCAGCATAGCCAAGACTGGCCATTTCGCGAGCAGGGCTAAGTTTTGCTCTTTCGGGTCCAACAGTCCTAAACCGCCCAGATTTTTGGGGCTTGCAACAGTCTCCCAGGCCACCTTAGTCATGTAACTCTGATCCTCAGTTGCCTCAGGTTTCCACAGGAATTTCGCTGCGCATCGCCGAATGGTTTTGTAGGCCTCCTCGCCCATAAAGTGGACGGCCAGGACAAACCATAACGTGGAAAAGGCTGCGGCAGACAGGACCAGTGTCCGACCGAAGAGAGAGAAATTTGTCCCGCTCCCTTCACTTGTTTCTTCACTCAGCTGGATGTTCAAGAAAGCGAAGTGAATACAGGCTTTACATGACTGATTACCTGAGGCCCAATCGAATACATACCTGCTTACCTTCGGCTCTGGCAGGATTCTTGCGTAGCAGACTCCTTTCAAAATCTTCCTCACATGGCTCGGGATGTCCGGCTCTGATGGCTGGTCTTCAATTTGTACACAGGTCATATCAGGTATCCTTCTGATGGGGCAAAGGAGAGGACCATCGGACCCTTATCTGATGGTACAGAGATGAGGGGAACCAAATAGTTCTCTATCGTGCCTTTATCTGCGCAGGAAGTCGTGGTCATGGGTAGAGTCGAGGAGAGGGAGCGGACTGTTTTCCCTTTGGCGCGGTTCGAGGTTCTGCGGCTGGCCGTCTCAGGAGCATTCTTGGAGGTCGTTGCGGATTCTCGGTCTGGCTTGCCCGGGGATTTCGGGAATCTGGTCAACGAATCCTGGTCTACGCCTGATTTCTTCACTGGAGTGCCACAGTCTTTGTTAGATGGGTCCCGATCTTGCGGACTGTCTACCTCCATTGAGGCTGAGGAAGGTCTCACAGG